ATTTTTATATCTCTTCATGAGAAAGCTATTTCTCTTTTTTTCTTATGATGTTTTGGTTTTGGTTTTAACCAGCCTTAGAAAGTGAGGTGGAGAGCGCCTGAGTAATTCATTCAGTTTAGCGGCTGCCTTGGGCTTGGGTCATGGTCCCAGAGTCCTGGGATCGAGCCCCCCATCAGCTCCCTGCTCAGCGGAGAGCCAGCTTCTCCCTCTCCCTATGCCTGCCACTCTGCCTACTTGTGCTCTCTATCTCTGTCAAATAAATAAATAAATAAAATCTTAAAGAAAGAAAAAAGTTAATTGGGGTGGGAAGTGTTTCTTCCTCTTTTGTTTCCAGAACTGTTGGTGTAAAATTAGTATTATTTCTTCCTTAAATGTTTGATAGAACTCACCAATTTGCCATCCTAGAATTTTCTTTTTTGGAAGATTTCTAATTTCTGTAGTAGATAGAGGACCATTCATGTTACCAGGTTTGTTTTGAGACAGGACAAAAGGTATTTAGGATTTGTATAGTGATCAGTGTATTTCTGTTTCAGATATATTTCAGAAATCCTTCTTTCCAATGACTTGATAAGGCACCTCTTCTTTCTCTTATTCCTGGTGCGACAAGCCAGGCAGGGATCTTGTTGATAGAAGGCTCATTCTCTGTTCCTTGGGCTAGTTTTCCTGTTAGTGACACACAGACTGTCTGTGTCCCTGGAAGCACTCTGCAATCTTCTCAGCAGTGTGCGAGGGGACAGATGTCACTGCAACAATGTAATCGATGTCATACTTGTCAGTATTGAGTATTGTTGTTTCTAATCAGTCTGTAGCTGCTAGGCTAAAATAAAAATTTCATTTTATTTCTTACATTTATCATAAAGTTGGATATTTTTCATATATTTATCAGCAAAGCAACTGAATTTTTGGATTTTGCTCCAAGCATTGAAGGAAAACCTTTTACAACTGTGTAAGAACGAGAATGTGTCACTTAAATCCAAACAAAGTGGGGCACCTGGGTGGTTCAGTGAGTTGAAGCCTCTGCCTTCGGCTCAGATCATGATCCCAGCGTCCTGGGATCGAGCCGCACATCAGGCTCTCTGCTCAGCCTGCTTCCTCCTCTCTCTCTGCCTGCCTCTCTGCCTACTTGTGATCTACGTCTGTCAAATAAATAAAATCTTTAAAAAAAAAATCCAAACAAAGTGAGCCAAAGTGCAGAGTAATAGGGATAGCGGATTAGCCCTCTAGTTGCCATTGAAATCGCTCCTGTTTTGGGCATGTTTTCTCAGAATATTTTACCTTTAAGAAAAATTATTACCCAGGATGTTCTACTCCTTTACTGTATCAGAGGATGTATTTCTAGTAACTTGTTCATAAATTAATTTTTTAAAAAAATATTTTCTTAAAAGATTTTATTTGTGGGGCGCCTGGGTGGCTGAGTAGGTTAAAGCCTCTGCCTTCGGCTCAGGTCATAATCCTGGGGTCCTGGGGTCAAGCCCCACATCGGGCTCTCTGCTCAGCCTGCTTCCCCCTCTTTTTCTCTGCCTGCCTCTCTGCCTACTTGTGATCTCTGTCAAATAAATAAAATCTTTAAAAATAAATAAATAAATAAAAGATTTTATCTGTTATCCAACAAAGAGAAATATCTCAAGTAGGCAGAGAGGCAGGCAGAGAGGGGAAAGCAGGCTCCCTGCTGAGCAGAGAGGCCTATACAGGGCCCAATCCCAGGACCCCGAGACCACGACCTGAGCCAAAGGCTGGGGCTTAACCACTGAGCCACCCAGGTGCCCCGTGTAAATTAATTTTTTATTAATTGTACTTCAGTTGTACATGGAGTAGAGGAGGTCGCTACCATAAATTATTTTGTATAGCATTTTTCTTTTTCATATAGTTTCTTACAAAACTAATTTTCTGTGAGAGAACAGCTACAGCAGTGTCTGAGGCTATGATGTCCTCACTACTTGTCTTGCAACTTAAAAATTCAGTGATTTTTAAACCTTTGTTCTACTTCTTAGTGAACTAAGAAAATAATTCTGTGTCTCAGATATATTAGCTATTTACTTCCCTGGTTTGTTCCATGTTCAGAGCAACTTTTATAAACTTTTTATGTTGTGCTTGTCTTCTTTATCACATACCGTTTCAGTGACATATGCTTTTAGGAATTACTTTGTAATTTATTCACTTAGTTTTTTTCTTCTTTCCAAGATTTTTTTTTTCTCAATGCATCAAAGGCCTTTTTTTTTTTTTTTTACTGCTATTTATTTATTTGAGAGAGAGCAGGGGAAGGGGCAGAGGGTAAGGGAGAGGGACAAGCGGACTCCCCACTGAGTGTGGAGCCCGACTGGAGCTTGATCTCATGACCCTGAGATCATGACCTGAGCCAAAATCAGTCAAGAGTCTTACACTTAACTGACTGAACCACCAGGTCCCCCCACTGTTAGTCTTATGTGAGCTTCCTTGTACATGATGAGTCACTTTTCTCCTACTACTTTAAAAATTCTGTCTTTGAGTTTGGACAATTTGATTATAATGTGTTTCACTGTGATTTCTTGGGTTTATCCTATTTGGTGTCTGTTAGGCTTCTTGAATCTAAATGTCCATTTCTGGGGCTCCCGGGTGGCTCAGTTGGTTAAGCGGCTGCCTTCGGCTCGGGTCATGATTCCAGGGTCCTGGGATCGAGCCCCGCATCAGGCTCCCTGCTCAGCGGAGAGCCTGCTTCTCTCTCTCCCCCTCTCCCTGCCGCTCTGCTTTCTTGTGCTCTCTCTCTAGCTCTCTGTCAAATAAATAAAATATTTAAAAAATAATAAATAAATAAATAATGTCCATTTCCTGCTCCATATTTTCAGTTGTTATTTCTTTAAAGATTTTATTATTTATTTATTTATTTGACAGAGCTCACAAGTAGGCAGAGAGGCAGGCAGAAAGAGGTGGGGAAGCAGGCTCCCTGCTGAGCAGAGAGCCCGATGCGGGGCTCGATCCCAGGACCCTGAGACCATGACCTGAGCCGAAGGCAGAGGCTTAACCCACTGAACCACCAGGTGCCCCTCCACTGTTATTTCTTTAAATGAACATTCTGGGGGCACCTTTAGTTTTTTATTTGTCCCATGTGTTCCTGTTTCTCCAAATGTGTTACAGTTTTGTGTTGGGATCTATACATAGGAGAAAACATCCACCTCTCCCCGTTTTTAACCTGGTTTTATGCTGGAAAAGACCCTCGCAGATGAATTCAGTTAGAGATGCTGGGAGCCTCTGACACCTCTTTTGGGAGGATGTGACTTCCCTGTGCTAGCGTGTACAATTTCTCAACCAGAGAGCTTCCTGGGTCTTTCAGGAACTCGTATCTCTTGCTCCCTCTGGTGCCTGTTTTTGGCACTCGTTGTTCTCTGATGTACAGCAGCAAGCAGCCCTGTTCTCTCTTGTACTCAGTGGCCACCAGGCATCCAGAGTTTGCCAGCTCCCCATCAGTGCCCACATCCAATGAGACAGATAGCATCCCTTTGAGCATCCCTGTGAAAAGCTAGTGCAGAAGCACATTCAGTTCTCTCTTCCTCCCAGGGAGAGAAGCCTCAAGTTATGCACCTGCTCTGAGTCATACCCAAAATGTACTGGCTATTAGATGCCACTCCTCTTCATTTCTTTGGTCTTAGCAGCATTCAGGCAACCGTACTGTGCTTGTTCTGTCCGTGCTCTAAATGAGGCGCAACAGAAATCCGTCCTTCAGGCAACTTTCCAAAGAGCTGGAATGTTGGATGCACGCTCCACTCCTCTCTCTCTCTGTCCCAAAGGAAAAGTCTAGAATCCCGGGTGTTCTTGCCAGGCACTGAGCTGTGTAGCTTCGGAGAAGGACTGACTTGGGAAAGTGAAATTTTTCTTCTTAGCCATTTCACTGCAGCTGTTTTCAGCTTGTGGTCCGTTGAGGGACTGCAGCCTCTTAACTAGATTCTGGAAATCTCCTAAAGGTTTTTTGGTCTGTGTATCATTGTTAAAGCAGTGTTTCTGTGGTAGAAGGAGGACTGGGACTTAGGAGTCTGCCATCTTGCTGACATCAGTCTCCTCTTCTCCTTACTTCTTAAGATTGCTAGTTTAGAACTAAGTGAAATGACTTCAGAAACCTGCCCACATATTTATTTTGATCCTACATGTTTACCACTTTGTAACAAAAGACATTTTCAGGACATAACAAGTATAAATAATCACATCTTCCCTTGGTACAGCTACATTCTGTTCCTTGCTAATTTTTCTTTTTCTATACTTGCAAAATCTGGCTTTCTGGAACGGAGGGAAAGATGCAGCTGGTAGTAGAGATACAGGTTGACTTTATATGTAAGTTTCCTATTTCTGGAGTGCATAAGGATGTATTTTGAGACTAAAACAGAAAAAGAAATGCTTGAACCTTCCACATATGATGTTAGGCAAGCAAAATGTGTTAGTAACTATTTTATTTACTTTTTAAAAGTTATGTCTATTTTTAGAGGCTTTTAATGGTTGATAAACAGTAATCAAACCACTGCATAGACTCTCACTTTGAAGGTTTAGGTGTGATGGCAGACAGTAACAGTCACATGTCTTACTATGGCAAGTATTACAAGTTTTCTGTGTGTCTAGAGCCAGAACATAAAAATGGGAATGAGCTGTCGTAGCTGTGAATAGCTACCATAGCGTCTACAGTCAGAATGCCTGAATTCCTGTCTTGGCTCCAGCACTCAGCCAGGTGAACAGGGTCAGGTTACTTAGCCTCTTTTTAATCTTGTTTTTTCTCATGGATAAAATGGGTATGGTAATAAGAGCACCTACCTCATGGGTTATTAGGGGAATTCAATGAGATGTTTGATATAGATAAAAAATTTTTAGATTAGTGCCTGGAATTTAAGGACTGCTAAATTATCGTTGGGTATTATTAAGAGCAAGTTGGATGAGATTGCTCTTTTTAGCCTTAGTGATGGTTAGATATATTTATTAAAAAAAAAAAAAAAAAAAAGGAGAAGAAGAAGACGATTAATGATCTCTCTCTACCTCATTTCCAGAGTTGAAACCGTGGGGCAGCCAGACAGAAGAGACAGTATAGGAGTGTGTGCAGAAAAACAGAATGGATACGACTCTCTGCAGCGGGACCAAGCCGTGTGCATCAGTACAAATGGTAAGAGACGCACGACTGCTATTCTCTTCAAAGTATGTGAATTGCTGGAGTAAGATGTGAATCTGTCCCAGCCACCACACGTCTGTAGCAGGAGATGAGAAAGTTTAAGTCTTTATGACATACCTGTATGGCTACTATGTGCCAGGCATTACTCTCTTCCCTTTACAAAGAATAAATCATTTACTCCTTTTAACAATTTGTCAAGGTGGGAAGTAGTATTCTACCCATTTTATAGGTGATGAAAACCAAGCCACAGAGAGGTTGAGTGACTCGCTTAAACTCCCATAGCTCAGAGGTGACTGAGTTGGGATTTGCACTAGGCAATCTATGTCTGGATTCCGTGTGCATAGGTCATCTGAATTCAACAACAATTGGTGAACTGAAGAGAGAGTTTACTTAATTTGTTATATCTCCCTAGGGTTCTTTGGCCCCTTACTCTATAGTCATCACACGTTTTTTTTTTTTTTTTTTAATTTTGTTTTTAAAAAGATTTTATTTATTCATTTGTGAAAGAAAGGAGGAGAAGGAAAAGGGAAGAGGGAGAGAGAGAAGCAGACTCCCCGCTGAGCAGGAGCCCAACTTGGGGCTCGATCCCAGAACCCTGTTATGACCTGAGCTGAAAGCAGACACTTAACCAATGAAGCCACCCGGGCACCCCTACAGTAATCACACTTTTGAAATCCCCTCTCCAGATGTGTTAATATGTTGTGGTGTGGGTCAAGCAGTAGGTAGAACAAGATTCTTGTTTATTTCATGTGCAACAATATTGCTATTCGATAGGATATAATTTTATAATGGAGTCAAGTTTCTTTTGATGCCATCCATGTGGGAAACTCGGTCTCCATTCTAGAAGAGTAGAACCCTGGATCAGAATTCTAAAATATGATTAAAGCTTTAACTTTTTCTCCTGCCACGGGGATGAGGGTTAATTACCATGTTGAAATGCATTCTCTTTGACCAGTTGGCATTCTAAAATGTTTTCTTGATCTGAGTTGGGAAATTACCTGTGTTATCGGTAATCTAGAATCCATTTCCATTCTTCATTATCGCTCACATGTAAATGACTCTTTACTTTAACATTTTAGGTGCAGTTTTTGTAAATGGAAAAGAAATGACTAATCAGTTGCCAGCAGTTACTTCTGGGTCCACTGTCACATTTGACATTGAAGCTGTAACTCTAGGATCCACCAATAATAACGAAGGAGGAAACTTCAAGCTTCGAGTAACTATTAGCTCAAATAACAGAGAGGTGGTTTTTGATTGGTTACTTGAGCAGTCTTGTGGTTCTCTTTATTTTGGTTGTTCGTTTTTCTATCCTGGATGGAAAGTGTTGGTATTCTAGATTTTTGGGTGATTGGTTTTGGTTTTGCAGGGTTTTAAATGTAGCTGTCGTCAGCTGAGTTTAATTGTAATTGGTTCCAAAAAAATTGTTAGATTCATCTCTCATTTAAGCCATTGGAAATGGAACTTGTTGACTGGATTTATTTTGGAGTATTTTAGCGGTAAGAGATTTGACTATTGTGGACAAAATTGTAGTGCAGTCAGTCTTGTAGCGTAGTGTTAATTGAAATATCAGCATCATGATAAAAATGAAATTGGCTTTTAAAGTATGAGGAGATACAGGAAGCCCAACACCCTTCCACTGTGTACTTCTTAAAAAGTTGATTATTAAAACAGAAAAACTTAATGTAACATTATCTTATTAAATTTCTATCTTTTTTAAGGATCCCAGGCCATGTAACACTTTAGGATCAAAGAGTAGGACTAGAGCAGCAGAAGCTGGAGTTCTGTAACTTACAATCACTTGTGCGCGGTCCGCATGAGCGGTGAATATGTTCTCCATATTTAGGTATTTGTAAGCAGTATTGAATTTTGTCTCACGCTCAGTCATCTTTAAAGTCCCAAAAGTGTGATAATTCTTGTGTTAAAAATTACGGAGCAAATGTCTACAATAGGCAGAGTATTTTCTCTTTTCTCTCAGTACAGTTCGATTCATGCTAGACTAGAGGATTTTTACAGGGTAGAACTACTCATGAAAGTGGTATGTAATTACAGCAGTAGCCGTTCACATATATGTAACGCGCACATGTGCATAGCCAGCCTCAGCGATGTGTATGTTACTACCCGTAGGGTATGAGCTACAGTCCAGTTTAATGTCAGTTTTATAAACGGTCTTTTAGTGGACCAAACAGATATAAGATAAATACTTGACCTATTTTTTTTGAAAGACTTAAAATTTGTTTAAGATATTTATTTGAAGGACCTAGTTAGTATGTAAAAATGATTATCTTAACTCGCTATACCAGCCTACAGATTTTTTTTAATGTGAATTTTTTTTCCTCCATTTTTAACAGTACAAATGTGGAAAAGCAAGTTTGATATTTTTGTAAGATAATTTATTTGGGGATTCAGATTCCCTGTTAGACAATCATGACCTTTTCCCCTTGCCTTTTTATATATAAGTCAGCCGTCTTTCATTTGTCTAGTGATTGTTAAGATGTGCTAGAATGTAGATGCCTCGTCCAGCTGTCTGAAACAAAATAAAAAACTAAAAGTTAAATGTGTGTGTTTTTTCTTCTGTGAGATTTGATGAATTCAATTTAAATCTTTTAGGTAAAGGGAGAAAAGGATTTCTAGTGTCTCTGTTTTTGTTTGTTGTTGGTTTTTTTAAAGATTTTATTTATTTATTTGACAGAGCGAGAGATCACAACTAGGCAGAGAGGCAGGCAGAAGGAGAGGGAGAAGCATGCTCCCTGCTGAGCAGAGAGCCTGATGCGGGGCTCAATCCCGGGACCCTGGGATCATGACCTGAGCAGAAGGCAGATGGTTAACCCACTGAGCCATCCAGGTGCCCCTGGTTTTTGTTTGTTTGTTTGCTTGTTTGTTTTTTAAATATTTTTTTTTCATTGGGGTGCCTGGGTGGCTCAGTCAGTTAAGCATCTGCCTTTGGGCTCAGGTCATGATCTCAGAGTCCTAGGATCGAGCCCCACGTTGGGCTCCCTGATTGGCAGGAAGCCTGCTTCTCCAACTCTTCCTCTCCTCCTCCTCTTTGTGCTCGCTCATGTGGTTTCTCTCTGTCCAATAAAGACAGAGAGAGAGAGAGAGAGACAGACAGAGAGGAAACACAAACTGGGGGAGGGGCAGAGGGAAAAGAACACTTCCCACTGAGTGCAGAACCTGACGGGGGCCTTGATCCCAGAACCCTGAGATCATGACCTTAAGTCAGATGCATAACCAGCTGAGCCACCCAGGCGCTCCTTTCTCCGGTCATTTTAATATGGGTATCGTTGTAACTTGTGACAAGTTACTTATACTTTCTTATATTCTGTGTATCTGATACCGAACATAGTGCCTGACACCTAACGTGTGTACAGTAAATGTTGGGTTGAATGAATGCGGATGGATTATTTTCTCCAGAACATCTTCATCTCGTTCCCTTCATTTGTCAAATATTTACTGAATGTCATTTTTTTCTTATCCTCCACAGGAGAGTCATGTCTTAAGTTTATATGTATAGGATCTGCCTTTTCGCAGAAATGACTAAAACCTAACTTAATTCTAGATGGGTGTGGATTGTAATATTTTGACCTCTGAAAATAATTTAAATATTGCTTTCTTTTTTGAAGATTTTTATTTTTAAGCGATGTCTACACACAACATGGGGCTTGAACCCACAATCCCCAAGATCAAGAGTCGTGCTCCACTGACTGAGGCAGCCAGGTGCCCCTGCCCTTGAACTGTGAACTTACAATTCTGTTCAAAGCCAACTCATTTTCTTTAAACAGATAAAGGAACCCTGTATTGCAAATCCGTTGCGTTGCTTGGAAGGACGAGAGAGTTTAGGTGATGATAATTAACAACTATAAGAATTGACATTTATTGAGCTCCTACTCTGTGCCAGGCACAAATGCTAAATTTTCAAAATACATTTATTATATCATTTAATCCACATGTGCTCCTTACTATCCTGTTATTACCGTTGTTTCACCCTACAGACAATAAAACTTAGGTTCAAGAGATGTGAACTAATTTATCTAAGGTCAGGACCGGTAACTAGTCTAGTCGGGATCCTAGCCCAGACCTGATGCACTCTGCGGCCCCCGCTCGTAACCGTTGTGCTCCCAGGAAGAGTGGACACTAAGGGGAAAGGCTCAGGGATAGATAAGAATCACCAACGGGATCCAAGGTAGCAGGTGCTGGAATGGCACTGAGAAAGGAAAGGCTGACTGTCTCTGCCTGAAGATCTCGGGGAGCAAAGTCCATCTCAAAAGGTGAGCAGAAATTTGTGAAGCCCAGCACTGGCATCTGAAGCAGAAGGGAAGGAACTTAGCGTTCTCGTGGAGGTGAGCGCTGTGTGTGTCGTGGCGAGAGGCATGGTATGTGAGGTCTCCGTGAGGGGCTGAGGGCTGCGGAGAAGTCGAATGGCGTGTTTGTTTTGAAACTGACAAACTGGGATACCTGGGTGGCTCAGTGGGTTAAAGCCTCTGCCTTCAGCTCAGGTCAAGATCTCAGGGTCCTGGGATCGAGCCCTGCATCGGGCTCTCTGCTCAGCGGGGAGCCTGCTTCTCCCCTCTCTCTCTGCCTGCTACTCTGTGTACTTGTGATCTCTCTGTCAAATAAATAAATAAATAAATAAATCTTAAGGGGAAAAAAAAAAGACTTGCATATTCTACTATTAATGGGTAGAATGTTTTGATCTTGTAGAGTTCTACTATATCTTTGCTGGCTTTCTGTCTAGTTGCTCTATCGGTTCTCGAGAGGGGAGTGTCAAAGTCACCAGTTGTAACTGCATTCATTCGTCTGTTTCTCCTTTTAGTTCTTTCAGTTTTTGACTTGTATCTTTTGTAGCGCCTTTGTCTTATGAATACACACTTAAGATTGCTGTATCTTTTTGGAGAATTGACTGTTTTGTCAGAATGTCCTTCTCTGTCTCTGGTATTTTTCTTTCCTCCAAGGTCCATTTTATCTGATAATAATCTAACCTCTACTTTCCTCTAATTAATGTTTGCATGATACGTATTTTCCATCCTGTGCTTTCAACTTTTCTATGTTAATATATGTGGAGTTCGTTTCTTGTAGATAGCATACAGCTGAGTCATGGGTTTTTTTTTGTTTCGTTTTTAATTTATTCTGTCAATCTCCAAGTTTTGTTTGGTCTATTTAGACCATTTACTTTTAATTTTATTATTGATATGTTAGGGCTTAAGTTGGCCATTTTTCTTTTTTGACAGCAAGAGAGGGAACACAAGTGGGGCGGGGGTCCGGGTAGGCTCCCTGCTGAGCAGGAAGCCCAGTGCAGATGCAAGGCTTTATCCGGAGACCCTGAGATCCGGACCTGAGCTGAAGGCAGAGGCTTAACCCCTGAGTCACCCAGGCACCCATGGCTTTCTTTTTACTGCCTTCTCATGGGTTGCTTCAACATATTTTGGAATTCCATTTTGATTTATCTGTAGTGTTTTTGAGTGTCTCTTTGTGTAGCTTCTTCAGTAACTGTTCTAGGTATTAAAAAATATGTATATATAACATACATATATACATAAACACACATGTATATTTGTGTATATATATACATTAATATATGTGTATTATATATATTACATATGTGTATTGTGTATGTGTGTTTATACAGATCTATGTGGAGCTATATCTACATCTACATTAGTATGGTCATGGCTTTTTTAATAATCAGGAAAAGTCCTGTTTGGATTTCTTTGCGTTAGCGAAAACAGGTACTAATGTAGGTCTTCGGTAAAGTGAAGCGGCGTAATGTGAACTTTCAGAAAGCAGGGGATATTGTTCACTTTACCCCGTTTGAGCTTATGAAAAGTGTTGTAGGAACACTCCACTTTCAGAGAGCAGGGAATATAAAACTTAACCAGTTAATTGGTGTCATCATTTCATCAGTTCAAGTGAAATAATCCTTACATCTCTTTATCTTTCTCCATTTACAGCAAATTTTTTTCTTAAATATTTTCTCTATATACATTTAGAACCTTACTAGACAATGTTGCCTTGACCATTAAAAAAAACTTTCAGAAAACTCAAGAGAAGAAATGCCTATTGTATTTATCTATATTTTTGCTTACTGTGTTCCTTTTTCCTTCATGCTCTTCCAAGTTTCCTTCTGTTACTATTTCCTTTCTATTTCAAGAACTTCCTTTAGCCATTCTTTTATGATAAGTCTGCTGGTGAAGAATTCTCTTTGATTTCTTCTGTATGAGAATGTTTTGATTTTCCCTTTATTCCTGGAGGTTGTTTCACTGAACATAGGATTCAAGGTTGAAAATTCTTTTGTGTGTTTGTGTGTTTATGTGTGTGCTGGTGGGGGGAGGGGTCTTAAACTCATGACCCTGAGATCCAGACCTGAGCTGATATCAAGAGTCAGACACTTGGGCGCCTGGGTGGCTCAGTGGGTTAAGCCTCTGCCTTTGGCTCAGGTCATGATCTCAGGGTCCTGGGATTGAGCCCCACATCGGGGCTCTCTGCTCAGTGAGGAGCCTGGTTCCCTCTGTCTCTGCCTGCCTCTCTGCCTATTTGTGATCTCTCTCTCTTGCTCTATCAAATAAATAAAATCTTTAAAAAACAAAAAAGAGTCAGACACTTGACTAACAGAACCCCCCATGTACCCCCAACAATTCTTTTCTTTCAATACTTAGAAAGTATTACGTGACCTCCCATGGCCTCTGATGAAAAATCTGCTGTCATTTTCATTGTTTTTCCTTGTAGATAAAGTGTCATTTTTCTGTAGTTGCTTTCTATATATATATATTTTTTGTCTTTAGTTATTGGAAGTTTAATTATGATGT